ATTGAAGAAATTCCCATTATTGTCAGAACCTGAATTTCAAACATAATAAAAGTTTAGAATATAAATTCAAAAATAAGAAAATAAAAGAAATATAGCCTTAATTTAACACCTTTCAGATTTTTCTTCAACCAATCTTGAAGACACATCAATGCTTGTATTGTATTTGGTCTCAGCTTGATTCTGAAGGTACAGTGGATATGGGAATGACAAACACATCTTTAGCAAGCATTTGCAATATAGGAAACCTAGCCCCATGAACTTTTCACTAATTCAGAATATCAAAAGTTTCTCCTACCTCAAATGGAACCACCCTTTCCTCTAAATAAGCATCTAACTCCGATTTCACAGCTGGTGCACTACCTTTTGAACTAAGGAATGTCTTGAATTTTTCAACGAAATTTTTATTACCAATCATAGAGGAAGATGAGGCAACCACTAGTGGAGTAGGGCTAGGGCTAGACACTTGCACACACCTCTCATTTTGGGAAGTTTTAGATTGATATCTATCAATCAAATCATAATAAAGCCTCAAAACCTTTGTTGACTTAATGTACTCCAAGAGGGGGGGTGAATTGGAGTTCCAAAAATTCTCCCCTTTTTGCAACCACAACACCCAAATTAACGAGAGTAGAGAAGAAGAGCTTGCTCAATGATTTATAGAGGTTCGGCCCAACCACTTGGAGCCTAGTCCTCTACCTTGGCTTCATTCACCAAGGATTTCCTCCACACTCTCCACTAACAACAACAAGGGTGGCTTAAAGGAGCCACTCAATCCTTTTACAATAAGATGAGTGTTTCTCTCAAACCTCACCCTCTTACAATGTAAACCCCACGAATCCTCTCAATAGATCACTCTTGAAGGAATTAACACACCCCCAAGATCACTCACTAAAAGCACAAGAAGAGGATTACAAGCAATGATCACTCAAAGATCAAAAACTCAAGTTAAAGCTCTAGTGGGTAGGTAAAGATATTCAATGCAACGTTCTCCAACCTTCTTCAGATCTGTTACCAACCATATTTATAGCCCCTTGCTCGAAAATAGCCGTTTCTAGCCGTTGGGGGTCATTAAATGCTCTGCAGGACACAAAGCTCGAGCTGCAGAATTGTCAGGAGAGCCGACTTAACATATTAGAGCCGGCTCTGTAGAGCCGGTTTACATTTCCAAAGCCTGCTATCCGGGTCTGCAGACCATTCTGTTTTTCTCGGGAGCCGGCTGCAAAACTTTGAGCCGGCTTTGCAACTCTGACTTTAAATACATTAATAATCTTCAAATGACTCGACCATTGTGCATTAAATGCACCCTCACAGCCGGCTACAAAGCCAGAGCCGGCTTTGCGCCTTTTCTCCGCGCGCGCCAAACAACGGTCTTCAAAATTTTGCCTGTAGAGCCGGCTGCAGCTTCCAGAGCCGGCTGCAGCTTCCAAAGCCGGCTTTCTGCATTCCATTTCACCAGAGCCGGCTGCACTTTACCAGAGCCGGCTCTCTGCACATTGAATCCTTTTGGTCTATTTTTAGTGCCATCCAAGTTTACTTACAATCTTTTAGCAACTTAACTACACACTTAAATAAATCAATTAATCACTCAAATGTGTTTTGTAATCATCAAAATCATAAGTACAACAACCTTTTGCATTTCCCCTCTAGTTCTATCTCCATAAATTTCAATAAAATAAAACTCTACTAACTCCATTTTGTATCTAGGATATAAAACAGTTGCTAGAGCCATAATGCCATGAACCTCACTCCAATACTTGTCAAATTTATCAAGCATTTTTTCTGCCTAATTGATACCTAAAAATGAATTAAATTAAAAATTAATAGTTAAAAACAATAAAGCACAAACCAGTAAAGCACAAACCAGTAAAGCACAAAAATTAAATTAAAAATTACTATGGTCAAGCGTTATTATGCACCCCCACTTTGGTATACCCTCCTAGTTAAAAATACTCAAGCACTAAAGTACAAAAATTAAATTAAAAATTACTAATTAAAAATACAAAAATTACTAGTTAGAAACACTAAAGCACTCAAGCACAAAAATTAAATTATACTAGTTGGAATCACTAAAGCAAAGCACAAAAACGGTAGCTTTAGAAGCTGCATCTAATTGATACCTAGAGTTGGAGGGTTTGAAAAGAATCTGAGGCAGAGCTGCAGAGGAGGAAGCCACGCGACAATAGAAAGAGAAAGAGGACGACCCAGCCTTGGAGCTCAGCTGGAGGTGAGTGGTGAGTTGTAGGGCAGCAAGGGCCAAGGGCTGTAGTGATGGCACCGTGAGTCCGTCTGTCCGTGAGAGGTCGAGAGTTGAAGGGTATCGCTGTGAAGGTGAGTCGACCGAGAGAGTAGAGTAGGCACGGTGAGTCGCAGAGTCGGTGAGAGGTGAAAGTTGAAGGAGTGAAGGGAAGCACCGATTGGTCCGATTCATAGTGGGCCGTGGAGAATCTGGAGATGAGGGCTGAGTTTGAGCATGAGTGAGAGTGAAGAGTGTGACAGAGGATTAGAGGAGAGGTCCAAGAGGAAAGTCGACCGAGAGGCAAGAGAGGAGTGGGAAATCCCTAATTCAGAATTTGCAAGAAGTGGCAAGCAGAAAAGGGGGCTGATTCGACTGAAAGTAAAAATGTAAAATGTCTTTCTGCTAGGCAGCTAGGGTTATATGTAAATTGGGCTGTAAATTGTGAATTTGGGCAATTAAGTTTAGGAAATAAGGATATTAGATTCACAAAAAAAAAATTGGGTTGGGCTGAGAAGTGAGAATTGGGTTTAGAAAATTTGAATAAAGAATGGATTGTGAAATTTAAGTTATGTTGGTATTGGGTTAGCTAATTAGGTTGGGTAAGTAAAAATTAATTGTTAATATATGTACAAAAAAAATATAAAAATAAATTTATATTTTTTTTTATTTTATATGGATCTCTACGGTTCCTCATGGAGTGGAGAAAATTTCCCGCAAAATTTCACGGGTAAAAAATTACCTCCATCCCTGCCCCACGGGTAGGAATATTTTGAGAATCTCTATCCCCGTGGCGGGGATCTCGGTGAAGCTCCACGGGTCCCAGATAAAATTGCCACCCTTACCAATCAAAGTCTGACATGCCTCCACATCTCATTAAATCATTAATATTTTTTAATTTTCTTAATTATTCAATTACGAATTTAATTATTGTAATTTTTTATACATTAAAATTTAGTTACTT